TGAAGTTTGTGAAAGAGCACATTGACATGGCACAGCGGTATTGGCAAAATGTTTTGTGGACTGATGAAACTAAGTTTGAACTATTTAGGAAGAACACACAGCACTACATCTGGTGTAAAAAGGACACTGCATATCATCGTGAACACATCATCCCAACCGTAAAGTATGGTGGAGGAAACATGATTTGGGCCTGCTTTGCTGCATCAGGGCCTGGTCAGCTTGCAATCATTGAGGGGAAGATGAATTCTCAAGTGTATCAAAACATTATTCAGGATAATGTGAGAATGTCTGTATGGCAGCTGAAACTCTGTAGAGGTTGGGTGATGCAACAGGACAATGACCCAAAACACCAGAGCAAGTCCACAACAGAATGGCTTTAGAAAAACAAAATCCACCTTTTGGAATGGCCAAGTCAGAGCCCAGACCTCAATCCAACAGAGATGCTATGGAATGACTTGAAGAAAGCCATACAAAGAATATGACTGAGCTAAAGCTGTTCTGCCAGGAACAATGGACTAAAATTCCTCCTGAACGATGTGCAGGTCTGATCCACAGCTACAGGAAGCGCCTGGTTGAGGTTATTGCTGCAAAGAGGGGGTCAACCAGTTATTAATTCCAGGGGTTCACTTACTTTTTCCTTTACCATTTTGAATGTTGGAGTGTCTTCAATAAAGACATGAAAGATCAGAATATTTTTTGTTGTTTTTGTAGGCACATTATATTTGTCAGTACTTTTGACTTAGATGAAGCTCAGATCACATTTTATGACAAATTAATGCAGAAAACCATGAAATTCCAAGAGGTTCACATACTTTCTACTTTTTCTTGCCACTGTATTTTCCCCGTGCATTCTTCTTAGTGTCCTAGTCCTGTTCTGATGGATGCATTTTGCAGAAACACTCAGTAAATGGTTGTGCGTTGCACTTGAACGGAGATGGGCAAAACCAGTCTAGGCTTTCATTACAAATTTATGTGATTTTTGTAATTTACATGTGAGATTCAGTGCCATTCTATGGACTATTTGGACACCTTTTCCAGGTCTCCAGAAAAAGATTTGTGTGTGATGTTTTAATTTTCATACAGCAGGATGTCAGCAGTGCGGATGAAGCGCATGAATGTCCTCCCAACAGGAGCTTGATTTCATCAGTTTTAGTGCGACGTAATGGACATGTTATCTTTCAATACATCAGGAGAAATCTCTGAAGGATGTACTGGTGTACACCTTCACACACACACACACACTGAGCGCTGTTTGTGTTCCTACGACACAGCTGACTGTTTGCCATTGTGCATTATCTTCATCTGCTTATTAAGAATTTAATTGTGTATGTGATCTTGTTTCAGAAGCTGAATGATGACAGGGAGCAGGTGATTAAGAAGAGGAAAAAGAAGGAGGTGAACAATGTGGAAGAGAAGAATCTGAAGAAAAACAGAGTACCTAAACAAGGGTGAGAATCCAGGGCATGTAATATTACTGTCTTGTATTCATGCGGTTGCTTGTGTCAGTTGGTGAGGTCGTCGTACTTTTATATGTAAGGTATTCTTGGGTTTATACTAGGAGGCTGATTGAATAGCACATGGTGGGGGGGGGTCTCACTTTAAAATGTCAGACGTGCACAGACACTGTTACATTACTGGACTAGTTTTCATCTGTTCTTGAACAGTTGATCTATTGGACAATCCTGGATTATTTGGTCATTGTGAATATGTGATGATGCATTTGTCCACTCTTTACCCTGCTAATAAGCCATTTGCCTTTTGTGACATTGTACTCCTGTGCTTTTATGTGGACCCTCCATTACATCTATAATGGGAGAGGGATATTGACTGTCGCTTGCTCTTAGCTGCTGTGACAAACCATCCACCTTCTAGAAAATGCTCCATTATCCACTCTCAGATAGGCCAAATACTCTAACATGTCACCATTCTGAAAACAACTTCCCAAAATAGCAGCAGCTATTGCCATTGTGCTATTATCAAATGGATGATGATGATGATGCGTGTGTGTGTGTGTCAGATCTTTCAGCAGAGACTGCAGGTTAATCTCAGAAACCCCACAGTGCTGCGCTCTTCCCACGTTTCTGAGTCGTCCTTGTCAGTGTTTGTCGATGCTTCACTTTGACAGTGAAAATGTCACGTACTGTGTTTGTAGCAGGGTTCATTTATTATGTACGCATCGCTCTCTTTTCCATTTCTTATAAATGTAATTGAATTGTCTTACTTGCCTCGGTGGTTTTCAGAATTTACAAAAAGGAGTGGAGTAGCCTGGATTCAGACCTCAGATCAGTCCATTATCAGCGGATTCTGTCTCAGCAGAGTTTAGAGGGTGGGATTAAGGATGTGGATATCATCTTTCTGCATGGCTTGCTGGGTAGATTATTAAACAATAGCAAAGCATGTCTGAGTTCAACACAGTAATACAAGTTGTTTTAAGCCAACTTCTGCTTGCCACCCACTTTATTAGGTACACCTTTACAATTGTATGCACTTCAATGCAACACTTCCGTCTTAACATCTGTGTTTATGAAGCTCAAAATGTTTCAGTTTTTGGTGAAATTGTCAACCGTATAAATTAAATTATGTGATGTGTTTATATTTGTGTCCTCTTCATATACATACATGAGAGGGTCAGAATATTTGGAACATCTCCGAGTAAAATGTAGTCCAGTGTAACACCACCTTTAACTATGACCTCAATAATAAACATAATAGAATTGTTCCATGAAACATTTTGAGCTTCATAAACAGTTGTGTTGATTGTCTTGCACTGATGCTCCCATTGACCTGCACCTCGCACTCTCAAAGTTAGAAGTTGTTGGAAGGTAACTTAGAGAAATTACTTTAGTTTTTATGTAAGTGAATCGCAACTGCAGCTTCTGTGCCAACTGACATCAGCAGGACAAATACATCACTCATTTGCTTATTGGCTAAGGCAAAACAAAGCAATATAATTCCCTCTCCCAAAAAGAAATCAGCTAACGTCACCTGTTTTTGGAGTATCCCAGCTTTGTGTTTGTGCATATAAAGATCATGTGCTGGTTTCGTAAATCTGGTTTTGATAGAAACCTCAATACTGTAGCATGTAGACACGTTATCCTGACCATTGTCAGTTGGTACAAAGCAAAGTGACTGAGATGTTGAGGAATCAAGACACACCTGTGCAAAGATCATCGGAAACCTAGATACTGCATTGAGACTGGGAACTGTGTTTCAAATGCTCCATGTAAACGTTACATCCTAAATAAGATCAAAATCCATACATATAAGACTCAAAAATGGGCTCAGCCTGAATAAATGAAATGAAATGAGGCAACTGCAGTATGAGGTTAAAATTTGCTTTGCATGTTTTTAAAAATTAGGCTTTATTACTTATTTGCTGGTTTAAATCTGCTGGTCACCCCCTCACCCCCTTTTACACTTATCATTTCCCTTCCCTCCTTTTTTGTTTTGTTATGTAGACTGCATAAACATGTACACACCCACACTTCACCCCCTCACACACAAACCAAATATGTGTAAAACCCTCTGTGTCCCTTTTGTATGTCCTGTATTTATTGTCTTGTTTTCCTGTTGTCTCCTGTTTTGTTAGCCTTCTATTTTGTGTTGCAGTTAAAATAATACATTTTTGGCTGGGAGGGGAAAAAAAAATAAGGCATTGGTCTGTTTTACTCCATCAGAATGACGGCACTCAACCTCCACCGGCCAGAGAAGAAGAAGAGAAAAAAGCTGATGAAGGACTCGCTATATCTGGCGGCCATGCTGCGCCGCTTCACCCGGGAAAAGGAGGAGATGAAGAAAAGAATCCCCAGCATGGCCCACCCAGGCCTGGCAGGAGGCGTGGCTATCAAGTCCCACTCGGCCAACTCTACGAACCACCTATTAGCCTCTAACTCCACTCATCCACAGGGCACCACAGCTAGCAGCGACCTCTCACTGACAGACCTCACCTCGGATCCAGCTGTGATATCACTGCTGGGTTCAGCCAATGAGAAGGAGCTGCAGGATCTCCTAGGCGACCTGGACTTCAGCTTGTTGGACACTGATCAGCAGCACGCCATGGTGACAGCAAGAGAAAATGGTATTCTGGGAGTCGGTGTTCCGGCTCATAAAGCAGCAGGAGGAGGTGGCCAAGGGCGAGGCCTGGGGTCTTCGAGTGGACTGTTTTCTCCACCCCTGCTGCCTGATGGGCTGCCTGCTCCTCTTATTAAACGCATCGAGGACCTTCGTGCGGTGAGTCAACAAAGCCACCCACCATCTGTGGGCGGCTGCAATTATCAGTGAAGCCTCTTGACTGAAGTTAAACACAAATGGCAATCAGCCGAGGAAGTGGCACATGAATGATTATTGTGAGTGAGAATGGTTCTTCTAAAGAAGTGCCTCTCGGAAGAACCCTGAGGGTTTTTATATAACCAAAACAGCAGGGTTGGCATCACTACTTTGAAGAAGTTCTTATTTTCTTGTTGCTCTTACATCTTGGAGCCACAGTGTCAGTCTGTAGACATCGTTTTCTAGGTGTTGGTACAAATGTAAAGAGACGCTGAGAAAATTGAAAAGTATTATGCAATGAAGGATACAGAGGTGGAGAAAAGAAGAGGGAACGCTTGGGAGAGCCAGCATTAGTAAGGAGATTTCTCTTGGAATAGAAGTATCAATTTGCCTGACCTGTACCTTGGTTCATTTGGTCTGGACCAAGGAAAAACTACGTAGTGTTGCCTTTTGTATTTTGGTCATTTTCATGTTAAAATGAACTTTTTACAGACAAACCAAGAGCCCATGTAGTCATATGGACCTTATACTGTTTGTCATAAATAATGATGTTTGTACCGTAATATCATGTGGGGATACTTTACTCACTTTTTGTTGAGGAACTGCAGTGACCTTCATTGAAATATTTTGCTCTGCAGAGCTGGAGATTCGTGACACTTCCTGTTATCAGCAGGTGGATTTAACAGTGAATACAGGCTGCTGACAAATACAGTGGGTATGGAAAGTA